ATAGATCAGATCCTACGTTGTATATAAATTTTCAACCCCAAAAAATAATTCCCAGTTTACCAACTGTACAGTAACTATGCATTCATAATATAGAGTGAAACAAAATGGCGAATTCGCAATTACATGCATTTTCAGATCTACAGTATTAACATACCAGCCTATACATGCAAAAACTTGCCAAAAGTTTAAAATTACTCCACTAATTTTCCTACTTCATGCTTACTTCGATGGTTTTATTCCTGGACAGAGAAATCCTTTACTGTGTATGTACTCCAGACCTACAGCAGTTTGACGAGCCCAATGCATCACATGATTATATTCATAAGTATAGCAATGAGGATATGACCCATGTAATACTGCAATAAAGAAATAGAGAGCTGCTACATTAATGCTACATGTATGTAGAAAGTTTGAGGAGATTCCGACAAACATTTTAAAAGTTACATGTAATTAAGGTCATTTTTAAAAAGTAGCAATTTTTTGGAAAAAAAGCAAACGCCATGGCAAAATCACCCTCAAATTTATTACATTCAAAAAATAATTCTTGTATACCTGTTTCCAAAGAATAAGGAGCAAATTCCCTTATAATGAAGCGCTAAAAATAATCAAAAACAATTAAGGTTATTTGGAAATGTAACTGAATTTTTGATACTATACATGTAAACTAACATAGCTATATAGTAGTACGTAGTCTTAGATCAATTTTGATCAAAATTGAAGAAAAAGAGAATTCTCTATTTTTATAATTTTTTCTGATAGATAATTGGATATACATGTACTTATGTTGTGTAGAAAGTTTGAACTGATTCTGATAAAAATAAATTTTTATGAATTTTCTAAGCTGCTCTGAAATTGGGTCAAATTAAGTCCCTTTACTACAGTACAGGTCACGGGCCAAATTTTGCCAAAAATTGTAAAAAAAAGAATTCTCCATTTTAATATTTTTTCCTTGTGCATATACAGGTATTTGTGTAGTAAGTTTGAACTGATTTCAATCAAACCCAAATTTTTACAAATTTTTAAGTTGGTCAAAAATTGGGCCAAATAGTAAATATTATAATATTTTGTGCACTTCTGTTTTGTGAACTCAAGTTAGTCAAACTTGAGTTCTTGTGTAGAATTGAAACCTGTGTAGTTATTCTGTAGTTATTCTGAGAATAACTACACAAATTTAATTCCCTAAAAATTTTTGGTAAACTTAGTTTGAACATGGTTGAAAAAATTCATGATGCTGTGGGGCCCCATGCAACTGATGCAGTACAAAGCAGTCAATACATAATACACATACATGTATATATAGTGGCATCTCTTTTTACAAACACCTTATAAAGATAACAGTGTACATATAGGTGTCCTCATTTAAGTGCTTGTATACCAAATGGGATTCCCATGCAGTTTTATACACTGTACCTCATTTGGTCCTGTTCCAAGGAGAACTGCAATATTATCATGTTTCTGAAGAGAATTGAAAATTAATAACTGAATTAGAGGAGAAGAGAAGAGGGAACAGGTATTATATATAAGTTAATGTGTCACTTTTAAACTGACCTCTTGTTCTAATTCTTTATGCTCTCTTGCTAATATGGAATACTTGACAGCAACATCCTGTTCCCTTGTGTGCTGCAAAGCGCACTCTGTCAGAAGAACCTATCCCTATAAGCTATAAAAAAATAATAGAGTAAGTTGGGGCTATTCTGTCCCTCTTTTTAAACTAATGTAAAATTTGTGTGCAGCGCTGTCACAATAGCCCCGATTAGATGGTCCTCTTTCTCCTATTGTAACTTCTTAACTATAGCACTCAAAGGACTGAAACAAAGACACGTCTATTCTGCACAGAATTATCTAACCACCAGCATCACATAACAGCTTGATCTTTATAAAGTGCAGCTAAGCAAATCTGGGTAAAAATTTGTGTTCATTAGCTTTTCATGTATTATCATCTAGTGATACAGTGTTTGTATATCTCCGGTCACTGCATAAATTTCCCACT